TGAGGAGTAGCGGCGGCCAGGAAAGCCAGCTCGTATGGTCTGTCCTCTAGGACGTCACTGCCAAGGGCAGGAGCAACCCTGAAGGACAAAGGACAAGGAGGAGCAGAGACCAGCTGAGTGGCGTAGTCAAGGCGGCGAGTGGCGACAGCAACGACAAGCGCAACGACACCAGTAGCGAAAAGTCATCGACAACAATGAAGAAGGAAGAGCAGTGGGGTCGGTACGAGGGATGAAAAGACACCCCCAGAACCAGCACTCCCAGCGGCAGCACCTCCAGAGTTCATAACAACCAGATGCGGCGGTGACAACGGCTACGGCGGCAACGAAGACTGATGCGGGGACTGCGAGGACGACGCCTGTGACGACAGAGACTGCGGCAACGGCTGCGGCGGGGGCGGGGGACGGGGTGGAGGCGGAAAAGGGGCCGACACAGGAGGCACACGCCTACGTACCGGGCTTCCAGAGTCAGCAGACTCCCCAACAGGCCCAATCGAGGGAAGGGGGGTGACGTGCGAGGGGGGGAAGGGAGTGGGAGTCAGAAAGAGGGAAGGGGGGGAACGGGGTACCTTGGCTAGGGAAGCGAGTGTAGAAGCATGATTCGTCAAAGTTTGTGTTCATACGTGGGGTTTGTCGACATCAATCCAACAAGCTCAAATTTCAGGAACCTTCTAGCGGCCCCCTCTAGCCCCCAACACCCCCCCTCCCCTAGCGCTTCATCGCGGCCCCCTCTTGCGGCCCCGTCGTGCCCCGACGTCACTCCCCATCGCGCCCTACCGTCGCGCCCCGTCGCCCCCCAGTTGTGGCCCCCCTCGCGCCCCCTGTTGCGCTCCACCAGACTCTGTTGTGGCCTACCGCATGCTCCGCTGCGCGCCTACTGCACGAACTACCGCGCCCGCGCCCTACCGCGTCCTGTCGCGCCCTGCCGCGCGCATGCTGTGCAACCTACCGCGCCCTGCCGCGCCCTCCGCGTGCCTGCTGCGCGCCCTACCTGCCATGCCGCTCCTGCAACACGCCTGCTGCGCACCCTGCCACACCCGTCACGCGCCTGCTATGCGCGTGCCACGCGCCCTGCCGTCGCGCATGCTGCACACCTGCGGAGATTGCTAGCCGCACCTGCAGCTGCACCTGTCGGCTGTGCCTTTCGCCGCACCTGTCAACGTCGCCGAGCCTGCCGCTGCTGACCGCCGCCGCGCCTGCAACTGTGATTTATGTCTGACTGACTTCTCCTCCTCATGTGGCTGTCCGGTCTCATCCGCTGTAGCTATGCCCCTGCTCACTCCTATCATGGCGTCCAAGTCCGAACTGCGGCTCGATGTGGAGGGGCCGGCAATCGACTTTGACGCATGTCTGCTCGATATCCAGCTCCACATACAAAGCCAGCGCCAGGACGACGTCTACCTGTACGCCCATGTGTCGGGTGAGCTACCTGCCCCCCAACACCCTCCTGCCCTTGCTGCTGAGCCTACCTCGGCGGAGCGGGAGGCTCACCGAGTGGCCAAGCTTGCGTATTCGGTTTGGGTGTCGCGTGACGCTACTGCGCGCCTTGCTCTTAGTCACCTCCTGCCGCCGGCCGAGCGAGTGCACTTTTTGTCAAACTATGTATTGTAACTGCTTGTAGTTAGACTTAGTGTAGTTATGAACTTAGTTGGTGGTGCACCAAAGCCTTGTTCTTTCCCTATATGTTCTCATCTTTCCATAGTGAAACCCAACCATTCTCAATCTCCTTGGTGACGCTACTCTCGACACCTCCTTTGCCTAGGCTCCTAAGCCTAGGCCCTAGCCTAAACCCTAGGCCACTGGTTCTAAGATTAGATGCTATTCTAAGGGCGTGTGTGATTTTATTTGGAGTTCGTAAAATAGGTCGAACTCCAGGTGGTAACCATTTTCGTGAATGTTCGCTAATGATTTCGTCAATGTAGACTTCAAACCGGAAACTACCAAATGCGAACCTACCAAAGTGAACAAGAGTCAAGAATATGCTCAAACGTGGTTTTGCATGATAAACCGAACGTGTGTGGTTTCAGGCACGTACGAGGAGTGAGCGACGCTCGCAAAACATTCGTGCACCAATAGATGCACGACCGAAACCAGTAGTAGAGACATTCAAGCAAAGCCCACCACGTGGAATGTGGCGTGGCACGATGACGTTTCGCTGGTGTGTCTAATCAGGCGCAGGCGCTTTGGCTGCGAAATTCCCGCCAACAATCTTGACACCACTTCATCCACCATCAACCCCAAAAGCAAGCCACGCTCATAGTTTGAAGCAGAGACATTCAAGCTTCATGCTACCCCGACTGACTTGCATATTTACGATGTCAACCTCTCCAGGCAAGCCCATGGAACCACCGCACCTACCGTGTCAAACTTATATACTATAGTCTGTGTAGGCTGTAGTGGGGTAGTTCATATATGGTACAACTCTTTTAGGTTTCCTACTTGTACCCACCTGCTTGCTAGTTCAGTCATTCGTTCCTTCTCTATTCTGACATGGTATTCTGAGCAGGTTCCCTCGTGGGAACGTTTTTTTTATTTTCAGGGCCCACCACGATTAAAACGTTTTTTTCCTGCCCTGCCCGAAGCGCGCCTCGTGCCTGCCTCACCTGCGCCGTCGCGCGCCCTGCCCTAGTGCCGCCAGTCGCGGCCCTGCCTTCTCGGCCCGTCGCGGCCCTTCCCTAACGGCCCGTCGCGGCCCCCTGCCTTCTCGGCTCGTCGCGGCCTTGCTCTGTCGCCGCCTCGTCGCGGCCCCTACCTAGCCGCCTAGTCGCGGCCCCTACCTAGCCGCCTAGTCGCGGCCCTGCCTTGCCGCCACCCGCGGCCCTGCCTTGCCGCCCGTCGCGGCCTACCCTAGCCGCCAGTCGCGGCCCTACCCTGCCGCCCCTCGTCGCGGCGCCGACCTTGCCGCCCGCCGCGGCCTCTGCCCTGCCGCTGCTCGTCGCGGCCCTGCTCTACTGCCGCCCAGCCGCGGTCCTGCCCTGCTGCCGCCCTGTCGCGGCCCTGCTCTGCCTCCGACTCGTCGTGGCCCTGCCCTTCAGCCGCCCCAGTCGCGGCCCTGCTCTACCGCCGCCAAGTCGCGGCCCTGCCCTGCTGCCGCCCCAGTCGCGGCCCTGACCTAACCGTCAGCTGCGGCCCTGCCCTGCACCCGCCCCTGGTAAGCGCCCGCGCCGCCCGGCCGAGCCGCGCCGCCTAGCCGAGCCACGCCGCCCTACCGAGCCGCGCCGCCCTACTGAGCCGCACTGCCCTGCCCGCGCTGCTCCTGCTGCTACTGCTGTTTCTGCTGTCACTGCTGCTACTGCTGCTACTGCTGCTACTGCCGCTATGGCTAGCCCTAATGTTCTTACCTTTGATGCTGAGGGGCGTGCGGTTGACTTTGACGTGTGGGTTGACGACCTGCAGCTCTTTCTTCAGTGTGACTCTAAGGACGGAGTATCCCTGTTCAATCACACGTCCGGTGTCTCTCCTGCACCTGCTGCCACTGCTGACAGTACGGTTCGCTCGCAGTGGACCACTTGTGACGCTGTTGCTCGCCTTGCTATTCGTAGTCACCTGCCGTCTGCTGAGCGCGCGCACTTTGGCCAGTACAAGACTGCTAAGTCTTTGTATGACGCTGTCGTAGCGCGCTACTCCTCCCCTGCCACTGCTGCCCTCAGCCGCCTCATGCTGCCGTACCTGTTCCCTGACCTTGCCGCCTTTGCCACAGTCGCTAACCTCATTACTCACCTCCGCACTAGTGACGCCCGCTACCGCGCTGCGCTTCCCATTGAGTTCTGTGCCAAGAACCCCCCCCCCCCATGTACATCACCCTTTACTACCTAGTCACCCGTCTCCCTGACTCCCTTGCTTCAGTCAGGGACCACTTTCTCTCCCTTTGCCCCACCGAGCTCACCGTCGACCTGCTAGAGGAGCGCCTCATTGCAGCTGAGAAGAGTATCGTTGCTGTAGGTGCTTCTCGCGGCGACCCTCGCGCCCCTTTCTTTGAGGGGTGTTCCCCTGTCCCCCTTCTCCCCTCTGTTGCTTCTGCTGCTGCTGTCGACCTCGTTGGCACTGAGGAGGTCGGGGCTGCGTCTGCTCCTAGTGGGAGGCGCCGCAACAGCAAGGGCAAGGGGGGCAAGGGTGGTGGAGGGGACGGTGGGGGCGGCGGTGGAGGCGGTGGAGGAGGCGGAGGGGGTGGCGGTGGAGGTGGGGGTGGTGGCGGGAGTGGGGGCGGTGGCAGCGGTGGGGGTGGTGGAGGCAGCGGCAGCTGCGGTGGAGGCAGCGGCAGCGGTGGTGGAGGTGGCGGCGGCGGTGGTGCTGGTCGAGGTGGAGCCACAAAGTGTGGAGGCTTTGGTGGTAGCCAGCGCCAGCAGCAGCCGCGTTCCCGTGAGACCCCGTCGGCCCAGCAGCTTCGTGAGTGGTACGCTGGGCGTGGGAGGTGTGGGGGTGTTGGTCCCTGCACTTACGTTTTTTTCACCGGCGGGCGCCGTGGGGAGACGTGCGGGCTGCCACACACTACGCAGCGCTGCTTTGGTCGCCTGACTGACGCCTGGCGTGCCCAGTTTCCTGACGCTGTTGAGCTCCCTCGCTGGGGTGATCTGCTTAAGCGGAATGTTGCTATCTTTGATCTTGATTTCGATGCTATCCTTGCTGCTATGTATGCTATGACTGAGGGTGACTGTTACCTGTGTGTTCCGCCCAACCTGGGCATTGAGGCTGCTGCTCTGGGTGCTAGTGAGTCTCCTGCTCCAGGTGCTGGTGAGTCTGCTCTCTCTGGTACTGCACCTACTGAGGCCTTGCACACTTTCACACTTGACTCTGGTGCTTCGCGCTCCTTCTTTCGCGTCAGCACCACACTCACGCCGCTCAGTCGGCCTGTCGCAGTCTCCCTGGCTGACCCCTCTGGGGGCTCAGTCCTTGCGCACTCTTCCACGGTTCTACCGTGTCCTGCGGCCCCGTCGGGCTTGCTGTCGGGACTCCACCTCCCCTCGTTCTCTACGAACTTGGTGAGTGGAGCTGACCTCCAGGACATGTGGGTTGACCAATTCACCCCTGGAGGTCAGCGTGTGACCCACTGCACTTGCTCTCGGACGGGCCGCCACCTGGCCACGTTCACCCGTCGGCCTGGGTCGAGTCTGTACACACTGACTACTGCGTCTCCTCCAGTTCCTGTGTCTAGTCAGGTAGCCGCGTCTGGTCAGGTGTTTGCTGCCGCGTCCAGGTCTAGTCCGGCGTCTGCCCCCTGCTCGTGTCGTCCTCTGTCACACGAGACTCTCCTTTGGCACCACCGCCTTGGTCACCCCTCCCTGCCTCGTCTTCGAGGTATGGCCTCCCGTACCCTTGTCTCTGGTCTCCCCCAGTCCCTCCCTCCCCTTCCTTCGGGGCCGGCCCCTACCTGTGTTCCTTGTGTCGAGGGCCAACAGCGCGCCGCTCCTCACTCCTCCGAGTTTCCTCCGACAGAGGCTCCCCTGCAAACTCTTCACATGGACGTGTGGGGCCCAGCCCGCGTCCGTGGGCAGGGTCACGAGCGTTACTTCCTGCTGGTCGTTGACGACTACTCGCGTTACACCACAGTCTTCCCCTTGCGCTGCAAGGGTGAGGTCACTGAGGTGTTGATCGACTGGATCCGCGGTGCTCGTCGCCAGCTCAGCGAGAGTTTCGGCTCGGACCTTCCTGTTCTGCGTCTGCACTCAGACAGAGGTGGTGAGTTTTCCTCCGACCTTCTGAGGGCTTTCTGTCGTGCGGAGGGCATCCGCCAGACGTTCACGCTTCCGGCCTCCCCACAGCAAAATGGGATTGCTGAGCGCCGCATTGGCATGGTCATGGACGTCGCTCGTACGTCCATGATCCATGCGGCTGCTCCCCATTTTCTGTGGCCGTTCGCGGTTCAGTACGCTGCGCATCAGATCAACCTTCAGCCTCGTGTCTCCTTGCCGGAGACCACACCTACTCTGCGGTGGACGGGAAAGGTTGGCGATGCGTCTGTGTTCCGTGTCTGGGGATCTCGAGCTTTTGTCCGCGATTCTTCCGCGGACAAGCTGTCCTCCCGTGCTGTTCCCTATGTCTTCCTTGGCTTCCCCCCTGACGCGCCTGGTTGGCAGTTTTACCACCCCACCTCGCGTCGTGTTCTGTCCTCTCAGGACGTCACGTTTGACGAGTCGGTAACTTACTACCGTCTCTTTCCCTACCGCACTGCCCCTCTCCCCCCCCCGCCGCTCTTCCTAGCACCAAGTGCTCCTCCAGTAGACCCCCTCCCCCCTCAGGGTCCTGCCCCCTCAGGTGTGTCCCAGGTAGACCCTGTCAAGCCTGTTGAGGTAGCTGTCGACTTTGGTACTGCTAGGGGTGCTGAGCCTGCGGGTGCGGGTGCGGGGCCTGGGGGCGCTGAGCTTGGGGTTGCTGAGTCTGGGGGTGCTGAGCCTAAGGGTGCGGAGCCTGGGGGTGCTGAGCCTGAGCGTGTGGAGCCTGGGGGTACTGAGCCTGGGGGTGCTGCGTCTGGGGGTGCTGAGCCTGAGCGTGCTGAGTCTGGAGGTCCTCCGGGTGTCTTGTCACGGCGGGAGTCCCGCTCTCCACAGCAGCTGCGAGAGTGGTACGCTCGGCGCTGTCGCTGTGTTGCTGGAGCTGCTGGAGTTGGAGCTGCTGTAGGTACTGCTGGTGCTGGAGCTGCTGGGGGCGCTGGAGCCGCTGGTCCCGGAGGTGCTCGCACTGGAGGTGCTGGAGCTACTGGAGTTGGAGCTGCTGGAGGTCCTGCTGGTGCTGGAGCTGCTGGAGGTGCTGGAGCCGCTGGTCCCGGAGGTGCTCGTACTGGAGGTACTGGAGCTGCTGGAGCTGGTGGTGCTACACGAGTTGGAGCTGCTACTGCTGGAGGTGCTACTGGTGCTGGAGCTGTTGCTGCTGGAGGTGCTACTGGAGCTGGAGCTGCTGGAGGTGCTGCAACTGGTAGTGCTGCGGGAGTTGTAGCTGGGGACCCTGGAGCTGGGGGTACTGGTGCTGTTTCTGCTGGTTCTGGAGGCGCTGCGCGGCCGCGGCCGTACTACGTTCCCCTCCTTCAGCAGGTTCTTGGCCTCCCGCCTTCTACTGGTCCTAGTCCTCCCTTTCTGAGTCCACCGCCTGTCCAGTCGCAGTCGCAGTTACAGCCAGCCTCTCCACTGCCTGGTCCTTCTCCTTACTCTAGAGGTCTTACGGAGCGTCGTGAGCCTGAGTCTCGTCCTGCGTCGCGTGAGTCTCGTCCTGCGTCGCCTGAGTCTCGTCCTGAGTCGCCTATTCGCGCTGTCCGCACTGGTCGTCGTGTTCCGCGTCAGCGTCCTCCTACTGTCCATGGCACTCACGATATGACTCTGCGTCCTTCCACTGCTCCACAGCGTGTCCCTCTGCCGTCTCCTCCTGCGTCCTCTCTTCCTGACGGTCAGGACCCAGAGTCTGACTCCCTTCGTGCTGCTAGTCCTACTGTCACGCGTTTCCTGGCCACTGTTGTCACTGACCCTTTGTTTGAGTCCATTGCTGCGTCTGCTCTAGTTGCTGAGCTTGTTGACTTTGCTGCCGCCTGTCGTCTAGACTACGCTGCTAGCCTTGTTGCTGAGTCTGAGTCTGAGTCTGAGTCTGTCTGTCCTCCGTCCGTCGGGGGTGAGTGTGCTCTTGGCACGGACGTTCTTGAGGACAGACAGGAGGAGTTTGAGTGCTTTGCCGCTGCTTTCCCTCATCTCGTGTCCATGCTGCTTGCCCCTGAGGGAGACCCGGATGCACCAGACATCCCGACCCCGCGCTCTTACGCAGAGGCGATAGAGGGTCCCTACTCCTCTCAGTGGCAGTCAGCCATGGACGCAGAGATGGCTTCCTGGAAGTCCACAGGCACCTACGTCGACGAGGTTCCCCCACCTGGGGCGAACATAGTCAGTGGCATGTGGATTTTCAGGGTGAAGCGGCCGCCGGGTTCTCCGCCTGTCTTCAAGGCGTGTTACGTTGCATGAGGCTTCAGTCAGTGACAGGGAGTTGACTTCTTCCATACCTTCTCCCCTACCCCGAAGATGACCACTCTTCGGGTGCTGCTGCACGTCGCCGCTCATCGTGACTACGAGCTTCACTCTCTTGACTTCAGCACTGCTTTCCTACAGGGCAGCCTGCACGAGGAGATCTGGCTGCGCCGCCCACCTGGCTTCACTGGGTCGTTTCCTGCTGGTACCCAGTGGAGCCTCCGGCGGCCAGTCTACGGTCTTCGCCAGGCACCCCGTGAGTGGCACGACACACTGAGGACGACTCTTGCTGCTCTTGGGTTTGCTCCTTCTACTGCTGGCCCGTCGCTGTTTCTACGCACCGACACCACTCTGCCGCCGTTCTCGTGTACGTAGACGACTTGGTCTTTGCTACTGCGGACACTGAGGGACTCGCCCACGTGAAGTCGGAGCTGCAGAAGAGACACACGTGCACAGACCTGGGTGAGCTGACAAGCTATCTTGGCTTGCGGATCACCCGGGACAGAGCACAGCGCACCATTACCTTGACTCAGTCACACATGGTGCAGCAGGTCCTTCAGCGCTTCGGCTTCACGTTCTCCTCGCCACAGTCCACTCCTCTGCCTACCAGTCACTCGCTCTCAGCTCCACCTTCGGACGAGTCCGTAGAGCCGAGTGGCCCGTATCCAGAGCTTGTAGGCTACCTCATGTACCTGATGACCTGCACTCGACCTGACCTTGCCTACCCTCTTAGCATTCTAGCACGCTATGTTGCTCCTGGCCGACACAGGAAGGAGCACATGGATGCCGCTAAGAGGGTGTTGCGCTACTTGTACAGTACGTCGGGCATGGGGCTCTTGCTTGGAGGACGGGCTCGAGTTGTCCTCACTGGTCACGCAGACGCTTCCTGGGCTGACGACTTGGCTACGCAGCGGTCGTCACAGGGTTACACCTTCAGTCTTGGCTCTGTCTCTTGGCGGTCTACCCGTTCGTCTTCTGTTCTCAGCTCCAGTTGTGAGGCTGAGATCTATGTAGGGGCCATGGCTGCACAGGAGTTACGCTGGCTCACCTACCTGCTGACCGACCTGGGAGAGCCGCCTCGTTCTCCTCCAGTGCTGTACGTCGACAACAAGGCCATGATTGCCTTGTGTCAGGAGCACAGACTGGAGCACAGAACGAAGCACATCGCTCTGCGCTACTTCCTTGCTCGAGAGTTGCAGCAGCGTGGTCAGCTTTGTCTTGCTTACGTGGCCACTTGGGCCAACACTGCTGATGTCTTCACCAAGGCGCTTCAGCCTTGTGATCATCAGCGTTTCTGTACTGTTCTAGGCCTTGTGCTTACTGTGCCTCACTTGCTTACTTCTTGACTCTGCTTGTACTGTGATCTCTTTACCTATACCTGCATGCTTACACTTGCTAGGTTGTGATCACTGTATTGCTTGTTCTCATTTATATAACTCTGCATGTGAACAGGCCTTGTGGCCATTTGCTTGTGCTCGGAATGCGTGGTGACGTCGTGATCCACCCTGAGCTTGCTTTGCCTTTCTTGACCGGTCTTGTGACCTCTTGTTCTCCCCCACTTTGCCTATGGGGGTGTGTCAAACTTATATACTATAGTCTGTGTAGGCTGTGGTGGGGTAGTTCATATAGGGTACAACTCTTTTAGGTTTCCTACTTGTACCCACCTGCTTGCTAGTTCAGTCATTCGTTCCTTCTCTATTCTGACATACCGCTGCGCCCATTTCCGCCAACGCGACACCACGCCGTCGTCGTGCAACGGTCGATAAAACCACTGCTCGCCGCCTAGATGTTATTGATCTCGACCAAGTGATTGCTCGTGTTCCCGCGCACAATACCCCGCTTAACGGCGACGACGACACGCTGACGTATTTTGACGCCGGTGAAGTTGACTGTGACGTAGACGACACTACCGACGAAGATACCGACCCCGCCATGGCGTTTGACAGGGCTCGCTGGGAGCCGCACGAGGTTATGCAGCTGGCGTGGATTCGCCACGACTTTGATGAGCAGTACCGCAGCCAGACCCGCCTGCAAGGCCAAAACCGTGACGTTATGATATTCTAAAAGGTCCGCGCGCGCCACCTGGAGTTCCGCCACAACCTTGCTGTTGTGAAAGCGAAAATCTTCCGTATGGAGGCGCAGTACAGGCTCGTGGGGGACCTCTTGCTGAATTCTTCGGGCAAGGGTCGCCCCCTGAAGATCCCCATCTTCTACGACATCTTCGACCGAATCATGGGCGATCGCGCGAATGTACGACCGCCCGCGCTTGCCAGCAGCCTGCCTGGTGCTAATGTGGTGAACTTGCCGTCAACAAGCACCACGGCTAGTAAGTTAATTGTTGCTCTGTATTCTTGTCGTTTCAAACGTCATGTTTCTGACACTGGCGTAAGGTTATAGCTGCTTAACACAATGACATACACAGCTGGAAACCTTACCCCGGTTATCACCAACTAATGCTTCTTCCCCCCTCCCCCCCCCCCCCCCCTCCCCCTCCAATATGTCGAGGCAGATCGTGCCCTGCCTACTCCAAGTGCGACGCAGACGGGCGTTCAAGACGCAGCATCGGCGTCGGATGACGAGCCCACAGATGCCGCCGCGGCTGCATCTCCTGTCCGCTCACATGTCCTCGGTGCGCGCACGGGAGCTTCGCTCCGTGGGCGTGGTGTCAACCGTCGGCCTGGGCCTGCGATTGGGAGTGAAGTCAACACAGGCAATGACGCGGGTGAACAGGCATTGGGAAGTCTTATGAATGCAAGTGATGCCACTCTATGCTGGGAAATCGCGGGAATGATAGCGCAGTCCGTGAAAGGTGCAATGCACGAGCAGTTTAATGCTTTCATGGATCGTACCCAAGAGTTGGTTGAGCAAGCTCAGGATGTCCAAGCCTCCAGGAAGCGTAGAGGCACGCCGCCATCCGAGCACGACGACGAGTCGGCGTGAAGCCTTCGTCGCGCGGCGTGAAGCCTTCGGCCGCGGGGCCGTGCTGCCACCAAGTGTTGCGCTCGCGTGGAGGGAGAAGCCGAGGGCGGGGGCTGAGAAGCAGGTCGATGTTGTGCAGAACGATGCAAGCAGAGACGTACTGGGGGGCGCGGAAGATGTCGCACTCCAAGCGCTTGTCCAACATCTGCCAGCGCGTCTTCAGCCGACCGTTAACCTGCTCGACAATCATCCTGGTGCGGGATTGCTGCAGGTTCCACACGCGCTGTTCTTCCGGCAGACCGCGACCGGGCAGCGCCCTGTAAGGCGTATGGATGTAGTCCCACAGACCGTAGGCCGCATCAGAAACTATGACATAGTCGTAGAGCCCCCCTAGTTCGATCTTATGTCTCGCCAGGCTGTGCTGGAAGACCCGAGCGTCGTTGACGCTCCCGGGCCATCCGACGTAGAAGTCGTAGATATAGCCGGTGCAATCACAGATGAGTTGTGCAATAATGCGGAACAATCCCTTCCTGTTCCTGAAATCCTTGCAATGTGGCCCTTGACCACGGCAAAGAATGTAGGTGCCATCCATGGCACCCACCACACCAGGAATGCCGGCCTCGTTACGGATGTCCCGCTCAAACACTTGTAACATTTCGAAGTCGGGACAGATGACCCACTTCTCCAGGAGGACCCTGTTGACGAACTCAAAGATTGGGTAAACTGTTTCTGGGCATGAGAGTAGGAGTACCCGAAATGCAGACCGAGCTGACGAAAAGAAAGGCCATGTCCAAGTCGGTTAAGTCCCATACCCACAAACACGAAGTTGAACACGGGATGCTTGCGGTTTGAGGGATAGCTTCGCTGGTACTGACGCACGAGGTAAATAAACACTCGTCTGTCCACGCGCATGTACTCGTAAAAATTAGACTCGGGCAGCAGGGTAATCAGGTTGAACCACCGCACGCGAGCATCCAGCCGATCCCCACAAACGAACACACGGGTCTGTCACAGAGTGAACGCAGCGACGAGCGCAGGGATTGCTGTGCCAATGGCGGTGAGAGCAGGTAGCTGGAAACATTGCTGGAAACCTTGAAGGACAATTCCAAGAAAGCGCACCAGCTCAATGAGAGACATTGTGAAATGCTGAGTTGGAGCCTGGGCTGAGCACTCCCATATTTGTAGCTTGCTCAGCAGTCTGGGGAGCGACGGTGAGCTGGAGGTCTAGGGTGCACTTTTGTGAGGCGCGATTCGTTGACGTGTCGCGCTGTCATGAAGACAATACCGGGTAACCTACACACCCTATAGGCAACTTGGTTCCCCCCCTGTAATCTCGAACTTGCAAAATCGCACTTGCGCGTGTGATTGTGAGTTTACAACTTTTGACACCAGCGGTTCGAACATTGCTATAGCTCAAAGTCAAATCAGGTTCGCTTTGTGTTCACATGCTACAATCGAATCAAAAACATAAACTTATGGCAAAAACTAAATTCACACACGCCCTAACACTTTTGCCAGGTCGCGACAGTGAAGGAGGGTCTGGATGCTATTGTTGCTCGCCACTCCACCCCCTCCTCTGCTACTCTGGGGCGCCTCCTCATGCCCTTCCTCTTCCCTGATTCCCCTGCTTTCTTCACTGTCACTGACCTCACTACCCACCTGCGCTCACTCGACACCAGCTTCCGCGCTGCTTGCACTACTGACCACCTTACTATACACGCTCGCCCCATATTCTCACCCTGCACTTCCCAGCAAACTGTCTCCCTGACCCCCTCGCGCCTGCCCG